ATTTACAACAAAGCTGTCCCTGATCTCCCCCCAGAATCATACAGACAGGCACCCTCTGTTCTTGAACTGCTTCTCTCCACTCACGTTAACACACATCGTCGCCCTCGTCATGAGGAGCTGCACATGAAGTTGTATGTGGACAGAGCAGTGTGGGGGATCAAGTTTTGAAGCAATGGGTTTTAGTCAGCCTCAGTGCAGAGCTTATCAAGCCCCGCACACAGCTTATGTAAATGGATAAGCTGCCATTTCCACCACGAGCCCCTTTATCAACAGCGTCTCACCACACCGACGCCAGACACAGGCAAGCTGTGCCTCTATGTGTGTGTGTGTGTGTCGTGTCGGGTGGGGGCCAATATCTGCCTAGTAACTACAGACAGGCTGTTCCAGATCCACATAAGTAATCCTCACACCCTCTTACACCCACACAGACTCAAACACAACAATAAGGCATAGCTTTAAAATTGTGTGCATCTGTTGTCATGGAAACATTGTCACTTCTCAGCTGCTCACGTGTGCATGTCATGGTGGTGGAAAAAAAATTATTAAGGCCCCTTTTTCAGTACAACCCCCGGCACCATTATACCTAACCACCCACACACACTAAGTGGTACCGAAACCTACAAACACACACATAAATATAGAAGCCCAGCTATGACAGCGAGGGGGATGGGTAATGATACTCGACACCTCCCACTCTCCTCAGCTGCCCCCTCCCCTCGCTGAAACCCATGAACCTTCACATACAGAACAGACATACATTTCACACACACACACACACTACTTCTTTTCTGCTCCTCCATACAGGGCTGTGTTAACACTCACACACAAAGACCTCAGTGTAAAACACACACTCTCCTTGCCTTCCCCCCCTACCTCCCTGTGCTTTCTTTGCCTCACGTATAAAAAGCTTATGTCTGTACAATCAGGGGACTGGACTACTACTACTTCATCGACTACATGGAGGACGATTTGCATAAAAACACCACATGATGATGAGTTTTCACAAGCACTGTTCACAGTTGACTAACCATTCTGTGAGCATGACTTTAAAGCTAAACTGCGTTACAGTAGTTGTCAATAATTCACCAGTTTGCCACTATTTGATTACATTATTTGATTACATTGTCACTTTAATCAGCCAATAATGCTCCGGGTTTTTAAAGACCCTCCCCTGACACACTGGTTGTAAATTGTATGCAAATGAACCCACTGTCATCAAAGCGGGTATTTTGTGAAAAGCCTAGAAAACGGGAGCAGAAGACATCATTAACATCATGTGATATTGAATAAATTACTGAAAATTACAAGTGTGAATGAATGTGCTGCTTCAAGCCCTTGTAATAATAATGACTCCTCTTCTTTTTCTGTTACTCACTCCTCATGGTAACAAAGAACCACTGTAGGGCTTACTCAGATAACCACTGGTCATCCTGCACAATGACTCAGATAATCACCAACTGGCTTCTTTGTTTATCAGAGATTAGCAATCTGACTAAAACTGTAGTAATAAATTGCCAGGTCTCCTTTATTTCAACCCTTATTTTCTTCTCTGGAATACATTAAGGGGTGAACTCTCATTTTAAATGATGCCAAGATTACATCAGGCAACAAAAACAGAGGTACACTATAACAAAAAGCCAAGTAGCTTTTCACATACAAGGAATTTGCCTTGGTATATTGGTGCATAACATAGTACAAGAAAGATATAAAGATGAAAGCAAGTACAGCAATCAAGAAGGCAAGAATATAAAGACAATAAAAGGACACTAAAAAGAGACAATTTGTATAATATAAAAAGACAATATGACTGTTATTTAAATGAAGAATATTTACAAAGATGTAGTCGGAGAGATGTAACACACTGATTCAGGTGAGTATTAATGTGGAAATGCAGGTCACATTATTTAAGTTACAAATCTTTCTTAACAAAGAATGAAATAAAACATTGTGAGACTCAGTTAATCCAGCACAGTATGCTAGAGCTAATAGAAGCAAGGTTAGCCAGCATTACCCATACAAATGAGACAGATTCACTGTAAAAAAAATATGTGAATAAATATATAAAGAAAATGTATGTGATTATTTACAGTTACAGACTTAAATTAAATATGCTTCGTTCAATACACAAATTGTATTGCAAGGAAAAAATAAGACATAAAACAATTATGTCTGTCAACAAGTAATTATTGGAAACCACGGTGTGTGTGTGTATTCCCGTTAAGAAAGCTAGGGGAAGATCCGCAGCAGCACGTAGTTTTACTTTCACTTAGTTACACCTTTTTCCAGTTTCCACATCAGCTCTGGTTTGAACTGGAGCAAACAGAGAGTACAAGCCTTTTAGGTTTCCACGAATTCACTCGCTGATATATGACAGCATGTTCCCTCAAAACTCACACAAACACCACACAGCCCTCCCCCTGCTAAGTGTCTGTTTTCTACCCAGCGTGGCCTGTAGCACCTGGGGATGTGTGTGACGTTATACTGACAAGGTAGTGGGGGGNNGGGGGGGGGGGGGGGGTACGTTGGGACTCGTTAGACTGCAGGGCAAACTATACAGCGCACATGACACACTACAAGGGAGCGGAAAGGAACATGATTTCATACTTCACAAAAACATTCCCAGTAGATGATATCTGGTGTTAAAAACACAGTAGGCTGAAGTAAAAACTCGACAGACCAAAAAGGAGCCCGCATGTATATCTTCAGAATCATGATCTGGCTTTACCACCAGGGGCTATAGCCAAGATTTTTTAGAAATACTGAGGCCAAGAGTCCGGAGTCCATCCCAGTTTGATCCCACAAAATGTTTGACTGGCCACCAAAAACAGTTTTAACCTGTTTTTGTCTAAAATACGGATAAGAATTTGGATTCAGCCTTGAGAGCTAACCATTTATTTGTGTGTATTGTAAAACTGTAACTGTAAACTCTCTCTCAGACTGTTTTAAACCCCCAAATTCCCCTGAATCAATGCCTAAGGGGTCCTCTGGGGGGAGGGGGGGACTACAACCCTGTTTATCAACTGAAACTGGAGACAACCTAAACAAATTTCACAACCATTTTCTAACAGATGTACATGGTGAGAGGATTCTCTTGGTTGCCTGTTCAGGCCCTTATCTTTTGTAACCTCCCACGGAAATGTTTACACTCTCAATGTCAACACAAGTGTGTGTGTGTGTGCGTACATGTATCTCTGCGAGGACCACTGTGAGGTATAGACTTTCAGAGGACATTGTTCCAATGTGAAGATATTTCAGCCAGTTTCACCTGGGCTGGATCTTCAAACAGCTGTTAACATTTTGTTTCAGAATTAAGGGCTGAACAATGTAAATGAGGGTCTTCACTGAGTGTGAGTGAATTAAAGTATCAATGCTACCAATTTAATTCAATATCAATACTGAGGTCAATGAGAGTGATACTGAAAACTAATTGGCCTGAGATGACCTGATTAAATAAAGGTTACATATACATTTATTATTGAAAGTGGTCTTGTGTTTTAACATGTGTTAACAGAGAATAAAAAGAAATGCCTTATATTTATGGATGCATGGAAAATCACAAAACAGTATTCAGAAGCAGGGGTGGATCTAGAGATCATGGGGTGGCATAGGGCCTTTAAAGGTCGACAGAAGCTGATTTTATCACAGGTAGAAATCAATAAATTGTTTTACTTCCAAATCTTCAGACATTTTTCCAAATGAAATGAATTTAAGCCTTTTGTGTAATTCATGTAAATTAGTGTGTTAAATTGGACAGAATTGGACACCAAACTGGGGTGACAAGGCATTTTTTATGCCACCCTTGTAGATATATCATATTCCTTTAACCCTCTTTTATTACAACAAATATAAGTCACTGTGATCCTAGTCCTGGTATAACTTGAATCTCGTGGTATCACCCACCCCTACTGCTTGACTGTTGTTACCTCCCAGAAAACATGTTTACACTCTCAATGTCAACACAAGTGTTTGTTTGTATGTGTGTGTGTGTGTGCTCTCCCATAACAAACAGGCTAGCATGTCTTTCAAGTCATAAATCTACACTTGTTTTTGTTCCTCCTTGACAGATATCATCTGTCTAGGTGGCAGGAGGGGCGAGGCTGTTTTCCCCAACAAAATAGTCCCCAGATAAGAAAATATTGTACAAATAAGAGACTTTCCCACGTGATTAACCTCTTAATCATACATTTATTAATTAAAAAAAACAATAACTGTGTCACGTCATGTCAGCACTACTCATTTGTCCATTCATTTTAGGCGGATTACTCAATACAAAGATTCGTGGCCTTGTAGGAGGATGACGAACGCCCGCAACGCGCATGCGCCGTCTCTGGCAGGCCGCAGCCAATGGCGACACGCTTTTCTCCCCGTGACGTCACCCGCCACTCCTCTTACTAAAGAAGGAAACAAACATCCATCCAGAAGAAACGGGAGACGGAGAGAAAGAGAGAGAGAGAGAGAAAGAAAGAGAGGTAGGAGGGCGAGGAAGGGAAGAATTAAAACCAACTAGCAACACCTGAAAGAAAAAGAGGCTGTCTGACACCGAAGGGACACAGCAAACAACTGAAAGACACAATAAAAAGGACGCTATCGTTGGGGAGGACCTGAAGAAACAAAACGACCTTTTTTTCGTTTTCGAGGGATATAAAAAATAATTATAACACACAAAAAAAAACAAAAAACAAAAACGGCCACTTTTCCTGTCGTCTCGCGAGAAAACTTCATCGATTTTCAGCAGGTGATGATCTTGGATTATTGCTCTTTTTTTTCTTAACAAGGATGCCTTTTGAAGTGAGCTCACCTGACCGAGGTAAACAACGAAAAAGAAGGAGGGGGGTTGTTTGTTGACTTAAAAAAAACAAAGCTGATGGTCGGTCATGGCGACCTTTAGCGGTGGATTGAAAGGTCAGGTGTGTGTGTGTGTGTGTGTGTGTGTGGTGTGTGTTGTGTGTGTTGTTGTTGAGAGTGTGTGTGAGTGTGTGAGAGAGAGAGAGAGAGAGAGAGAGAGAGGGTATTGTGTGGTAAACAAGACTCCCCCACCTTCCTCCTCCTCCTCCTCTTCCTCCCTCACCACCATTTTTCTTCAGCCTATTTGCTCGTTTAAGTTGTCAACACCACTCCGTCTCCTTCCCTTCACAAGCTCCCCTGTTTTTAAAGAAAAAAAAAAAAAAACGTGACTCCGTCTGGTTTCAGGAGGAGAAAACAAGGGAGGGAGATATCTGCTGCCATGGGTGCTGTTTTTTGCCCCGAGCTGGGGGATGGGGGGGCAGCAAAGCCAGCTAATTCCTGTCTAGAAATAGAAAATTCATAAGCCGAATAGGCAAGTAAGGTTAGAGCGAGAGAAATGCACTCAAATGACTACAAAGCTTTTGTT